TGGGGCAGCCACAGCTTCTCTGGGCATCCCAAGGTCAAGGCCTTAGGACAAAATGCTTGCCCAAGTCTGGAGGATAAAAGGCATCTTGCAACACAGCATCCAAAAAAATGCAACAAAACCCCACATGAACAGAAACCAGAAGACAATAATAGAAAAAGAATTTGCCTCTGAATTCCTTCTCCAAGAAGAATTCGTTTGCTAAACTGCATTGCTGAGAGGAAGAAATTACTGTCTTGTCTTTCAAAAGTATTTGGGGTTTCAGAGTGTCTGTCCCACTCTGGAATGAAAATAAAAGATGTTTCACAGCCTTCACATTCCTCATCAAGCCAAGGAGACCTTAAAATCGTCTTTCTTGTGTCAGATCTTATAAATCCAGAAAAACCCCGGAGGGTCCCACTCTGGACTCTTCCCAGCTGCCACAGCTTCCCATCACCAATACAGAGGGGAATTTGCCATTCCCTGCAGATTTTATTCCACTGAGCTCTACCTTCCATGTTCCTTTCCTGAGTTTTCACATGGCCCATTCAAGACTTTATTTCCTTGGCCTTCTAAAGGCCTTTGGAGCAGAGAAGCAAATCATGATATATTCATAATGTGCCTTTCTTACAAAGTTATCTTTAAACTGAGACAAAGAGAGTCATTACCCATAAAAAGGACAGTTACAGCCCAAAAATATTCTGTGCCCATTCCTCCTGCTCCTGCCCATCCTCAAAGGCATCCCTGAGCTCAGCCCTGGCTCCAAAGCAAAGGGGAAATGGGGATTTTGTGGGTGCTGATTTTTATTAGATTCTTCTCCTGCCTCACACATCTTCAGAGAGGGGGGATTTTGGCACTTCTTGGGAAGCACAGAACAGCTCCACTGCTGGGTGGAACCTGCTCAGGCTGGAGGGCAGAGCTTTGGCTGCATTAATCATAGAATCAGAGAATCATAAAGGCTGGAAAAGACTTCCAGGATCAAGTCCAACCTTTGACTTACACCACCATGTCAACTAAATCATATTGTGAAATGCCACATTTACTCACTTTTTAAATCCCTCCAGGGATGGGGACTCCCCCTCTCTCTGATTTCTGGGCCTTCACAGGACACCCCAAGAATCCCACCCTGTGCCTGGGCCCACTGTCCAAACACTCCTCTTTGGACCAGTTAAATGCCTTTGGAAATTCAGCCCGAAGCTGTTTCATGAAGCCTTGACATTTTAAGCAGGAGACTCCTTTCCCTTGCAGCCTGACACCCGTCTGTCACTGGTGTGAGGGACAAACCACACTCAGACCACTGGGGATGTGAAATTTTGGCTCAAAGTGTGATTTCTCTTGTGGCCATCGAGTCCCAAGGGAGTTGTGGAAGGAGGAAGGTGCTCAAGCCCCACAGAAAGAGCAGGGGCAGCCTGGCCTGCAGCAGGGCCTGTGCCACCCTTGCAAGACTCACTGATGAGTACAAAGAGAGTTGTTAAATAGCTGAAAAATCCAATTATTCAAAGGCTTGACCAAAATATTCCAAAATCTTAGCCAGAACTAGGCAGATTTTTAGAGAGTGGCAAAACCCACCTAAGAACAAGCCATTCCTCTGTGTTTCAGTGCACTGATCTAAAACAGCCAGAGAGCTTCAAAACAGCTCACCAGGATCTTCGACCTGGGAAAAAGTCTGTTTTCCACTGCCCCTCTTTTCCAACACAGCTGAAGCATTCTGGCTGTTATTTCTGGACTGGGCACACACCAGGGCAGGTCTGTGCTTGCCTCTCTCATCAGAGAAGCCGAGAGGAGGGTAATGGAGAATTCCAATTAAAAGAGCCGCTGGAAAGTTTGGTTTCCCTTTTCCCCAACACTTGCCACCAGCACCAGAGACGAGCTTCACTCACTCCATCCTCCCCCCTCCCCACACCCCCACCAGTGGCAGGGGCTGGACCTGCCCACGTACCTGTTGCCTTCTCGGGGTTGTTGCACATGAAGCACTGCCAGGCTCCTGCCTCCTCGCTGTAGCCAAACAGATCAAAGAACCTCACTTCTTCCAGGTGCATCTGCACGTGGTCCAGGTCCTGGGCCAAGAATGAGAGAAACCAAACTCACTCAGGAGGTGAAGCACTGCAAGCCAACAGCTCGTAACCCCAAAGCCCAGAGGGACTCACAGCGAGTCCAGCGAGGGCCCTTCCCGTGTCTCCTGTGGATGGACAACCTGCCAGGGCCAATGTGCTCAGCAGGACGTGTCCCTCTCCCCACCAGCAGTAGCAGCTGATGTATAAATCATAGATTGGTCTGTGGGAGGCAGAGAATGGGGTTTCTTTTGCCTCCTCAGCAGCGCTGTCAGCAGCTCGGCCCGGCACGTTCCCCAACTTCAGAGCACAAGTGTGATGGGGAGCAGCTGAGGGAGCTGGGGGTGCTCAGCCTGGAGAAAAGGAGGCTCAGGGGGGACCTTCTGGCTCTGCAACCCCCTGACAGGAGGGGGGAGCTGGGGGGGGTCGGGCTCTGCTCCCAGGGAACAAGGGACAGGAGGAGAGGGAACGGCCTCAGGCTGTGCCAGGGGAGGTTTAAATGGGATATTAGGGAAAATTTCTTCATGCAAAGGGCTGTCCAGCCCTGGCACAGCTGCCCAGAGCAGAAGTGGATCCCCATCCCTGGAGGGATTTAACAGCCATGTGGATGTGGTACTTGGGGACAGGGGTCAGTGGTGGCCTTGGCAGTGCTGGGGATGGTTGAACTTGATGGTCTTAGAGGGCTTTTCCAACCTAAACAATTCCATGTTTCTGTTATCCCCAGGGTTTTTTCAATGCTCCAGAAGGTTGTGGCCTCTGCTGACACAATGCAGTGCTGGGCACTCCCTCCTGTCCCTCCAGATCCCCCATCAGAGCAGGGGTGACAAGCCAGGGAAGCAGGACTGTGAATCCCCAAAGTGAAGTGAACATATGACTTGCTCAGAGGAACCTACAGAACATAGACTTGCACCTGTGAGTATGGGAAAAGCCAGAGGATACTCATTTTGAGGTCATTAATAACAGTGTATAATTCAGTGTATTTTATTTTCATTTTGAAACCAATTCTGATCTCACACCTAAACAAACGTTGGTGTTAAATAACACCAGCCAACTGCAAACACGAAGGGCATTGCCAGCACTGCCCAGAAAACCCTGTTTGTGTAGGGTCTCCACAGGTCTGCAACACCCCAAGCTGCAGCCCAAGGAAAACAGGGATTTATGCAGTCAGTGGGGAAAACACCATCCCTTGCCAGGGCCATTAGTCCATCACACTGAGCAAGGCTCTGTAGAGGATGCAGTTGTCCAATTCCAGCCTTTTTAGACAAACTTTGGCATAGCAGAGGGAGCAGGGCACGGTCAGTGACTTGTCCTACCCCTGATGTGCCCCAACCTCCTGCTGTGGCACCTTGGAGGACACAACTGGGCAGAATGATGGCACTGCCCTCCCTGGGTCTGTGCAGCACATTCTAGGACATGGGGACAGGCTGGACAGAAAGCCTGGGAGCTTCCCCATCCCGTGAAAAAATCTGACAGTGTTTGCACTGAGCTAACTGTGGCCTGAAAGAGAGCAAATACCAGTGAAATATCAGGGCACCGATCTGGCTTCTCCCCTCGGTACTCGAGCACGCTTGAAATCCCCTGCAATAAGCCACTTATTTCAGGAGTGGAAGCGTGGGGGAAAAGCCTAATTGGAGAGGAGAGATTTATCTCACCCCCCTGCCCCGTAATCTTGGAAACTTCAGTGAGTCCATTGTGCAAACGTGGAGCTCGTTCTGAGACAGCAACGAGGAAAGGGAGGGACAGTGCGAACAACGGCTCAGAAATGTGAGCTCTGCTCTCGCCAGGCTGAGCAACAAAAGGCTCTCTGAGGGCATCACATGGGGCTCGTAAAGCATCCCCATCTCCCTGCTCTGCCCCACGTGAGGCAGCACAAAGAGCCAGCCCCGAGCTCCAGCCCGGCCCCGGCTGCGCAACGCGGCCCCGCCGCCTTTGATAAAGAGCTGTGAAGCAACCGAACGGAAATCTGGAAGGATGTACATCTGGAAGTGCTTTGCTTCTGGCACATCCTAAGCCCTGTTGGATAAATATTTCTTTGTGGCACGAAGAGGCTGCCCAGCGAAGCACAGCGTGCTCTGTGTGAGCCAGGTACTCGCCGTGGGTCTGGGCCAACCTTGGGAGTCGCGGACGGTGACGGAAATCTGAAATCATTTCTCAGAATTTAGTCTGGAATAAAGCACTGATGTAATGGGTTTTTCTCCAGGTTTGAAAAATGCTTTAGAGTCCACAATTGGGAAAAAGAATAAATTAACATATTCTGGATTAGACACAGGAGCAGAGGACGAACATGGAGTGATGGCAGAGCAGTGTTGTGGCACCGTCGTTCCTGTTGAGTGCTGGGGGTCAAACCTTCCTCACGTGCTCACAGAAATTCATCACCATCATCACAGAATGGTTCGAGTTGGAAGGGACCTTACAGACCATCTAGTGCAACCTTTCACAGACCAGGTTGCTCAAATTCTGATAACACAATGCATAAGACTCAATGTAAAATGTAACAGGCAATGTTGATGCTGCACTGGAACTGTCAGATTCCAAAACATTTCCAGTTAAAAGTGCTGCACTTAATGAAGCATCCACACCCCCAGCATTTTGCTTCCTGAACTACTGGCATTAACAACTACAATAATTTTATCAAATAATCTGCAGTATTTGAAGTTCTGTTACAAATGGGAAGAACTTCTGAAATGACAAACTCAGATTATGGCAGAAGCTGAGCTTGTCAAGCAAAGTAAGGACTAGGTCATGGCAGGAATTTCCCAGGTAGACTTTTTGGGAATGTAAAAGCCAAAGAAGACCTTCTCTATGGCAGTCCTAGACGTCATTCCCAGAAAACTCTGGGAATGTACTTTTCTCAAAAATCTGAATGGAAATTGCACTAGAAACAAACTCGGATTCTTATCAACAAACAAACCCCAAACAAACTCAGGTTCTGTATCAATAAATGAAACCAAACTGAAAGCACACCCAGCAGCAAACTGTGGAGCCCAAGACTGAGCTTTACAACCCCCTTCCCAAGCCAGATGAGTTCCATCTGCCCGACTGTCCCAAGGGCTGTTGGCCAATCCCAGCTCGGGAGTTCCCCAACCCCAATTCACAGCTCGGTTCATTCACCCAGCGAAGATCAGGATCTCATTTCCCAGCTCTGCTATTTTGGGAACTCAGAGATACTCTGACTGTCATAGGGCTGATGGGAGTTCCCAAAATAGGCCAGACACTTGTATCTGAGCACTAACAGGGTTATGCAACCACGTGCTGGAGACTAATCCCATTGCCAGGGTGTTGGATGTGTTTTGTAGACTTTGTGTGCTTGGTGCAGCACATCCAATCTGCCCAACGACTGCCATGAAATCTTCCCTAAGCTCTTTATTCACCCCAAGCTCCTTCACACTCCACCAGCTCCGACTTCTGACGAGCAGATCTCGGCACGGGCTCAAGTTAAGCCAGTGTTGAGCAGCAAAGCTGTTCTAATGCCTCTGGATGAGTCAGGCTGGGATTTCAACAGCAGCTAAAATGCTCAGCACAAGCTCCACTGTGTCTAAGTAAAACTGGCCCCAAAACTGGTCTCACATGTGGGGGTCTTCCACTCCTCTGACAAGCCACAGCACGAGTTCCCACTTCAGCACAACGTTATCCTGGGGGTTCAGAAGGTGTTTCTAACAAAAGCCCTGGTTTTAAATCAGCCACAGCCTTGATAATTTAATCTTATTCCGTGAGGCATCTCCATGCCCACAATATTCCAAGAGAGAGTATTTTAAAATCACGTTTGACAAGTCGTTTCATCCCGTTGAGCTGGATGGAGACGCTCAGGAATAAATAGATATTTGTTTTACAATCCTCCAGCTGCCTTTTCCAAGAAGTCTGATTAATAGCTTTGGAATAGCACTCGCTGAAATCCCGGAGACAGTAAACAGCTTTGAGCAAGTAATCTTTTAAACTGAGGGGGGCAAGGAATGGCACACGTGCACACCATCATTTCCATAGAATCCAAGGCCCTGTTTAACCAGGTGAACTTCCCAGGGGCTGCCCAACACCCCACAGCAGCAGCTAATCTGAATCTTGAGGTGAAAGCTGTGAGCAGGAAAAAAACCATGGGCAGCATCCCTAATTTTCATCACTTTGGGAGCAATTCACGTGGAGAACGAGCCTGGAGACCTTTCAAATAACAGCACAAAACACCCCTGTGGACCCTCTGTGGAGCAAAGACTCGCTGTAGTTACTGTAAAGGTCTTTGTACAGCTGTTCCAAAATGCAGGGTTAAGTCCTTTTACCATTTTTATTTGTGAGAAAAATAAACTCTCACCTTTTGGTGGGGGAATGTCGACTGGATCATGGCAGTTTCAAAGCTGTGCATCCCCTTGAGCTGAGTCTTCTCCCACAGGGCCTTGAGGACTTGCACGGAATTGCTCTGTATGGACAAGGGTTCTGCAAACAAGCTCTGGAAAGATGGTGAAAACAGGATTTCAGGCATTTTTTGCTTGGTCATTAACAAAGAACATCTTGGCCTTGCCATGAGAGTAACCAGGGGTTGGTTCAGCTCCAGGTAAGGAGTTCTGATGGATCAATAGACACACAATTAGATACACCCTCAAATATTCCATTTCCTCGGGGGCTTTTTAAATTGGCTGTGTGTTCCATGTCTTTGAGGTCTGTGGCTCACCAAGGATTATCTCCCAGCCACCACTGCACAACTTGCACATTGTTTTTGCCTTGAAATGCTCATCTCTCACCACCTGAGCAGCACTGGCCTCCAGGACCCAGGGATCTCGGGGATGTGCATCTCTTTGGGAAGATGTGGCATTTACCAGGCAGTGGCAAGGGATGCTTCACTCCACTCCAGGTTTGTGTATGTTTGTTTGGACCTCCTTCAGCTCTCGGTCCTTGTGCAGGAAGGAGTAAGAGGGCAATGTTTGTGCCTGCACTGGGCAGAAGGTGGACGAAATGCGAGAGGAAAACCCCCCAGAACATGCTCAGCACAGGGTACAGGGGTTTTCAGCCCCTGGCCATTCACAGAACAAGATGAAACCTTGTTGAGTTGGGTGCTCTCCCCTCCAAAGCTCCCTCTGCCAAATGACACAACCTTCAACACCTGAAATTATTCTCATAATTGAACACCACTGAGTTCTTCAGTTCTACACTGCCCTCAAAGCCCATGTTATGAGAACACTGTGGCTGAGAGAGCAAAACGTTTCTGCCTCTACTGTCTCTACTACGTGAGCCTGGAATTAAAAAATGCATTTACAGGCAGGAGCCAAGTTAAGAGCTCACGAATAGATCTGATTTTCCACACTACAGCTATTTGATTTCACAATTTGAGCAATGTCCTTCGAACGGAGGGTTCCTGGATGGACGTTCTGTCTCCTCTTTCTAGGCAACCCCGTCAAGCCTAATCCTGCTGTCCTGCACTAATAATTTCCCAATTTCCATCCAAGGGTTTCGAAACACGATGTAAGTCTTCACTAATATTTTTCAAATTAACTGACCAGCATTTTTGAAAAGCAGTTTTTGTGCTTATTTCTAGGAATACACGCAGGGCAGAGCCACCAGGGCTCTTAAATTCGCAGCATCCTTTGCTGTGGATGTGTTACATTTTGGATCAATCCTGGGTGTTTCTAGGGCTGAATTAGGGTGGGATGAACTGGATGAACAGCTCTACGTAGGTTAAAAAACTGAGCCTTATATTTTAACTCAAAACTCACCTGTTTCACCTTGAAGTGGGATTGTAGGGATTTCTCTGACAGTTTAATACTATTTGTAACCTATCAGGAAATCCCACACATGTCCAAATATTGGGCTGTACTTGGAAAGAGTATTAAACATGAGAAAATCACTTCAGGGGAGGTAGAACAGTGCTGATCAGATTTACAAATACTGCTCCATCAAAACTTGTGCACTGAAATATCCCAGTGGGTTCTGCACCTCCAACCTCCTCCTGCAGCCTGGGGGTTGGTTCTGCTGCCCTGAAAATCCACTGCCATGCTCCTGGGTGCTTGCAAGGCACCTGGGACTTGCTGGAAGTTTTGCCTGAATGAGGACAATGTGGTTTGGTCCCACTTTTTCATCCCCAGGCTTTGCAATCTCCCCAGCCAGTTTGAACTTGGGGTATTAATAGAAATACAAAAGCTCATAAAGTGCAAAATCACTTCAGCCCAGCTGAATGACTGTCTGAGGCATCACGAGGGTCACATATTACAGTGAATTAGAAGTGCATTCAATGAGATTAATGCCTAAACATTTTTTCCCAAGTGCAACAGGGACGCCCCAGAGGTGCCACTGGTTTGTGTCCCACGCACCTGCTGGAAGAGGAACATGATGTGGATCCACAGGGGAGGCTGATGGCTCACCAGGGTGAAGCTGGACTTGCTGTACAAGCAGTAGTGGCCCTTCAGGGGACAGCTGAAGAACAGCTTTGCTACACAGCTTCTGACAGTGTCTGGGGAGAAACATGAAGCACATTAAAATAACCCACAGAAATGAGAGAAACCAAAGTGCCCCTTCCCAGGGCAGGTGTGGCCACGCAGGGTGTGGGCAGACAGCTCCACTTTGGGGCTCACTCCTTGGCACTGCTGTGTCTGCACCCCCAAAGCAGGAGAGAAACTCAGTCTAATGGGGCTTCTTTGTTACCTCCAAGAGTGGTATCATTTTATAGCCCCTGTGAATGGGAACAAGCAGCTCTCCAAGGGAAAAAGGCACGGAAAAGAAAAGGAGGAGCTCCTTAGATGATGACCTGGATGCCAACGCAGGAGAGAGCTGCAGGCTCAGCATACGTGTGGGGGGATGGACTGGGAAGGGGTCACAGAGCCAGGACTGTCCTGCAGCCCCCCCCAGGGTGAGTCACCCCCAGGACCAGCTGGGCAGGGGCTGACTCACAGTCTCATGCTGCCCTGGTGAGTCACTGTGAGAGGAAGGTGGAGGAATAAAGTGCTCTAAGGAAACCTCCTAACTGGAAAAATGAGCTGTGACTTTTCAGCAAACGTGGCTGACGGGAGGCGGTTTCTGGACCTGCTGACAAGAGGAGTCAGCAGCAAGGGAGGCTGAGAGCACGAGGCAGCCTGGCTGTCCAGCCACAGACCAGCTTGGAACACTTGGTTTCAACATTTTCATCTAACCAAGATGTGAAAGCTCAGGAAAGAAATGAAATAAATGCAGTATTTCACATGAAATCACGACATATGAGGAATGAGTTTACCAGAGGTACAAAGGGATGGGTTGCCAGAACAAAGTATCAGTGGTCAAACTGTCACTGAAAATGCAGAAAATTCAAAACTGGGGTGTTGGAATCTGCCAAAAATGCTACAGAGAGGCCAGATGGCCAGGAGAAAAACCAGCCTGGGAGGCTCCAGCCTCTGGTAACAACTGAGAAAAGGTGCCCAGTGCCAGGTGGGACTGGGAATCACAGAATCCCAGAATGGTTTGGGTTGGGAAGGACCTGAGAGCTCATCCAGTCCCACCCCCTGCCATGGGCAGGGACACCTTCCACTGTCCCAGGTTGCTCCAAGCCCCGTCCAACCTGGCCTTGGACACTTCCAGGGATGTGGCAGCCACAGCTTCTCTGGGCAACAAGGGGGTGAAGGAGGTTCCTAAATACCACAGAACAAAACATTGCAAAGATGTGTGGAGAGACACAAACCCTTAAGAAATTGCTTAGCAAGGCTTTGTGGATGACACTGAGAAAGGTTCTGAGGCTGAGAACGTGTGCCAAAATCGACATCAGCTCCAGCACCGGAGCCAAGGCTGGCTGAGCAGGAAGTTCCTTGAAAAAAGCAGCCTTGATTTGTCAATACCAAGGGCAAAAAGCCTCCAGCCCAGACAATCTGCAAACCTCTGCCATGAGAGGGGCTGTTACTCACAGCTGTTCCTGCTGCTGGATGTGCTGAGCGTGGCAATGTCTGAGAACGAGCCCAACTTGCTACGGGGTGTTTTTCAACCTTTTGCAATGAACTACCAGTTTCAACACACAAGAGCTGATCTCAGTTATCCCAGTGTCAGCAGAGTCACAGAATGAGTTGGGTGGGAAGGGACCTTAAAGACCATCCCATTCCACTCCCCTCCCCTGGGCAGGGACACCTTCCACTGTCCCAGGTTGATCCAAGCCCTGTCCAGCCTGGCCATGGACACTTCCAGGGATGAGAAGGAAAAAGGTGCTTTTAAAATCATTGCAGTGCTTACAAATTGCTTGTAACTCAATGTAATGTGCAGCTTAAGATATATTTTGGGCTTTCCTAAAACACAGGTGCATAAATGGGCTCAGTTCTAGGTAAGGTGTGGTTCACACTTCTCCCAGTCCATCATGGCAAGTTATATGAACACTGTGGATCAAATGTCCACCTTGAGTGATCCTCATGGATTTCAGAGATAAGGCAGAAATAATTCATCATAAAAAGGCCTATTCACAACAAACCAAAACATTTTTGGTAGGAAGAACAGAACCAAATCACTTGCAGCCTTGAGTTAGCAAAAAAGGTAAAAAGAAAACAATCCCAGGCTGGGAAGGTGGAGACAACTCAGTTCCCTGAATCCCTCTGTAATTCCATTACATGTAACTGCACACCCTAAATTCACCTGGTAAGGAAAGATTAATTGGGTCCCAGGAAACTTTCAGGATATCAATAAGATACAACACACAGGGTCCTGTCACCAGAACCTCCTTGCTCTGCAACTGCTCCCCCAGCACGAGGCACGTCCTGGTGAGTGCTGGTGATCCAGTGGTGACTAAAGGTCCTTTTGATGTGATTTAAAGCAATGAAATCCAAATTATGGTCAAGATGGATCTGCAGCTCTTTAAAATAAATGGTCAGAAGCATGTAAGGGAGAGAGGAAGGAAAAATTAGCTGACTTCCCCAAGGGCATTAAGCCTATTATGTTGGTCACATTTAAGCTACACTTTTACAGGCTTTAGAACCAGTTTTGTACTCTAAAAACTCCTGTCAATTCTAAATCCTGAAAGCAAATTTGAAGGAGGGTTTTTATGCCAGCCTCTGTTTCCCTGAGTAACCTGTCCCATCTGACCTGAATTAGGATTTGTGGAAACACTCTTTATTTCATTCCCTGGCTCTGTGACTGGAACAGCACTTCTGCACTGCAGGGCTCAGAGAGGGGGAGGTTGAGGAAAAGGGAATGACAAAATCCCAGAGACAGACTCGTCTCGTGGCTGTTTTGGGTGTGAACTCTGGAGCTGGACCGTGGATACGATGGCTTTGCCTGGGCCAGGACAATCCCTGGCACCTGTCAGTGCACCAGAACATATTGATGGGGAGGAGAGGGGGTCCCAGCCTGTGACCCCCACCCAGGTGGAAAGGAGCCCAGGCTGGACCTCCCCTGTCTCAGCCAAGGGGCTCTGTGCAAGGTGGGTTTATGGGGTGAGAAGTCTGTGTGAGCGGCTGAAACCTCGTTTGGACTCAGCAAAGGAGGGGAGTTCATGGCTCTGCTTCATCTCAGCAGCACCAAAGCCAGACCTCTGGCTCAGGGTCTGGGTAACACTGAGCAGGCACAACAAAGGCCTGTTTTATCCAGTTACTTGGAATTATCCCTATGGATGAGCACCTCAGAGCAAACCTCAGCCAAGGCGTTGGAGAGCTCTGGGCATCCCCCCACTCCAGCAGCTCCTCACCTCACATCCCCCAGGCACTGGACCTGCTGCACCCCCGTCCTGCTCCCCTGCAGCGCTGGCAGCACCAGCTGGGGACACTTGGGAACATCTTCTACATGAAGGGCGAGTCCATAGGATCATGGAATGGTTTGGGTTGGAAGGACTTTAAAGCCCATCCTGTTCCACCCCCTGCCATGGGCAGGAACACCTTCCACCAGCCCAGGCTGCTCCAAGCCCCGTCCAACCTGGCCTTGGACACTTCCAGGGATGGGGCAGCCACAGCTTCTCTGGGCAACCTGTGCCAGGGCCTCCCCACCCTCCGAGTAAAGAATTCCTTCCCAATATCCCATCTATCCCTGCCTGTGGCAGTTTGAAACCACTGCCCCTTGTCCTGTCACTGTCTGCCAAGTTCTCCTCCTTCCTCAGCCTGGCTGGGCTTGCCTTGGAAGGAGAGTCCAAGTAACACAGGAGAAGGATTCTAGAACATGAAGAACACGTGAGCAGCAACACAAGACAAACCAGCCCCACACAGGCACCAAATGCCCAGATGGTTGGTCAAGATCCCCAAGGAAATGTTCCTTAGTCAAGAAACATTCCCACCTCTTGGCAAGTCTCTGAATTCTAGCAAGAAAATAAGCAACAACTTGTTTTTCCTACAGGAAACAAGAGAATATATGTTGCAATTTTAAAGTTCACAACTAAGTGATTGTGCCTGGGGAAAAAAAGAACAAAATAAAACCAGAAGAACGTCAGTAGAGCTGTTAATTGTTGCTTATTCCAGCTCCACACGCTGTGCTGAACCAGGAGGGTACAAAGTCACTGGTTCTGGGAACAATCAATGTATTATTTGATTTGCATTGGTAATCCTTCACTGTTAAATAAAATCTGTTAATAGGAGGAGAAGTATGCTCATAAATTTCCTAAATAGAATCAAACCCACACATAAACATGGAACCAATAAGAAATGGATATGACTTTTTAAATTTTGGTTTTAAGCTTTTTCGGCTTCCTCAGTTTCCTTTGCCTGATCTCTTTGGTTTGGGTTACATAAAGTATGCAAACAATAAATACATTTATAGGAGAAAAGGGTAATTTTTAGAGCAGCCAGCTTCAAGAAGTGCTGATTTATATTGTTTTTACCACTGCTAGCTTTGTGTGCATGCCTTAACTCCATCCAGCAGATTTCACCTCCAGTAAGTTACACAACACTCAAGGGAAAAGGCAGGGCTGGGATGGGACAGGTACAACAATGCACTCAACACATAGAGCCCAAACTCTGCCAAATCCAGAAGCTCCGAAGTCATGGAGTCACAGACTGGTTTGGGTTGGAAGGGCCCTTGAAACTCATCCCATCCCATCCCATCCCATCTCATCCCATCCCACCCCCTGCCATGGGCAGGGACATTTTCCATATGCCAGGTTGCTCCAAGCCCCATCAAAGTCCAAGTGCTCCTGTTTATGGCCCCGCCCACCAGGAGTCTCCCAGGCAAAGCCCATGTGCAGAGCAGCCTGTTCCAAGTGCTGCTTCCAGGGCAGGAGTGACACCCCCAGGGTCTGTCACCACGTGTGTGGGGGCAGCAGGTTCAGAGCTGTCCCTGTTCCCGTTATGCTCCCCCGGGGAGTTTCCTGGTCTGACGAGGACCACCATGAGCACGGGGGCCATCCTGAGTGTCAGCACACATTCCCACTGCCTGCCCTCCCGGATGGGATGCCTTTGGAACACCAGCCCTGCAGAACTCAGAGCCAGCTCCTATTTGCTGTGGCCCAGCGGCCCCAGCACCGCTCTCTGGGAACGCTCTCCTGAGCCTGCACAGCTCTGTGATCCCACTGAAGGACCAGAGGCCCATCTGTTCCAAATCAACACTGGGCTCATGGAATGCTGGAATTCCTCAGGCCGGTGCAGGGTGAGCACTGCAGGGGAGCAATGAGCCTTTCCATCCACACCGTCATATGGTCCCGATTACCTCCCGGTACCCCATAAAACATAATAACTACCAGATTTAGGGCCAGCACGCTGCAACCTGTTTCCCCTGCTGCCTCCTCCTCTTTCAGCATTCTGTCATTAATCCCATGAAATGTTTGCTGGATATTTTTCCTCCCGAATGGCACCGAGGAGCCAGCAGTGACTTACTGCTGGAAAAAGGCTCTAATACTTTTCACTGGAGCACGTTGTGTTTGAACGTGGCTGCAGTGACCAAGGGTGGAATCATTCCACGATCTCCCTGGGCAGGCTGGAGATGGCAAATCCCTCAGCATCCTCAACACACAGATATGATCAGGTGCTTCCTTCCAACAGCTCACTTGACACTCAGGGGTCTGGGCTGTTGGCATTAATGGGGGTGTTTTTATCCAAATTAGTCAAAAAGCAACCAGAACTACAGTGGAAAACATTTCCCTCATTATAAGTAAACCCAGCAGCTGTCCAGGCCTGTGTCTGGGAATCATCTGGAAGCAGCCCCTCCCAATGGCAGGATACACATGGCCATGGATCTGATCCACCATCCCGGTGCATCTGGGAAACAAGAGCGGGTCAAAAGTCCTCTGACCTGCAGGGGCTCAAGGTGAGAGCCAGCAAGGCTGGGGCAGGTGGGGCTGCAGCTGCTCCAGAGCCCTGTGCTGCCTGCAGGGTGACAGGGGCCACGCCAGGTAAAACTGGGAGGACTCAGCTCCTACCTGGGTGCTGTGCCCCTCCCAAAACCAACACTGGCAGGTCTTAACACCAGTAATCATAGAAACATCAGAGAACCACGGAATGGTTTGGGTTAGAGGGACCCTAAAGGTCACCCAGTGCCACCCCCTGCCATGGGACACCTTCCACTAGCCCAGGTTGCTCCAAGCCCTGTCCAACCTGGCCTTGGACACTTCTAGGGATGGGGCAGCCACAGCTTCTCTGGGCAACCTGTGCCAGGGCCTCCCCACCCTCAGACCAGGTAACAACAACACCTGATACAGGGATTCCATCTTGCACCAAAGCCTTTCAAAGCAACTTCAATCACCACCAGCCCCACCTCCCCAGAAGGGTTTGGGAGACACGGAAAAACAGGAGGGCTGAAGGACCTGTTGGACAGCACCGAATAAAACCAGCGGGGAAACTGGGGGACCTTGATCTCAACCACAGGGACCCCAGTCCCACTGAGGCAGCAGAAATCCCACCCAGTGCTCACTGAACAGCAATAACCAACCTTGGGAGCATTCAGGAATTTCCTGAGGCACGGCCTGGGCCTCTGGAATCTGCAAGATCCTGGGGGTACCGATAAGATATGGGATCACAAACCATCTGGAAAAATATGGGCTGATGAAAACTATTTGCTTAACTCCATGAAAGCTGAAGGGTATGACAAATATGGTGGGTTTTTTCCCTTTTTTTTTGAGGAAAAGATCCCGAGGATTAAGGGGATTAAAGTGATAAACATGATGTAAAAGAATTCCTCAGACTGCTGAAGGTATGGCAGAGATGTGGATCTGGGCACAGTGCTTCAAACTAAGCAGGGACTGACCCAAACCATCAGCCCCAAGCTGAAACAAGCTCAAATAAATGGATTTTTGTGGGTTTGGGTTCCTTCTTTCTGCCCCAGCTCAAATCCCCTCTCTGACTGCAGTGTTATCCCAAAAACTTCACTTATACACGTGAGTCTGGGGAGCTGTTGGAGCTTCTCTGCTCTTTGAAACACCCTCAACTTGGCCATTTTCTTAGGGCAAGACCTTCTGGCCAACAGCCCAGTCCTAACCGTGCTCCTGCTGTAGGATCATCACCCCATTCACACCCTGCCTCTGCCCAAAGCACATCCAGCCAAAAATAGCAACTTTTAAATGAGATAACAGAGCTGACATGGCAATTTTTCAATGTCTTTATGAGGCATCTTCAAACTGTCACAGACAGTTCACGGATCCACCCTGACAGTTCTTCACCTGCCTCCCTTCAGAGCTGTAAAATCCAACACTTCAGCTGATATTACATCAACTGGGACGTATCATATAAATCCAACAAGCTTGTAAGTCAACAAGGAGACTGAAAATCACAGCCTGCAAAGCACAAATGTTCTGTGAGGGTTAAGACCTGCACAGCAAATGCCTGACTTGATTGTAAAAAAGCCAATTTGCAAATCACAGACAATTTTACGGAGCAGAGGAGCCTATTTTGTGTGTTTTGAATTTGCTTCTGACAACTACAGTGCTTGTTCTCCAGCACCTGCACCAGGGCAGACGGTGAGCCACCCTCAGTTAATGCTCTGCCATTTGAGACATTGCAAATCTCCATCAGCCCTCTCTTTTCCAGACTGAGGAGTCTCCAGTTTTCTTCACATGGAGGTCTCTGATTTTCTCCTTTATCCTCCAAATTCAGGCTCCAGTTAATGCAGACAACAACAGACCGGTTTGGGTGGGAAGAGACCTTGAAGACCACCCAGTTCCAACCCCCTGCCATGGGCAGGGACACCCTCCACTGTCTCATTAGTGCCCAGACCTGACAGGGTTCCTACATGAGAATTCTGGATACACCCCAAGGCCCCCAGGCCTCTGTCCTGCCCAGCACAGGATCCTTTGGAGATGCCACCCAGCCTGGGTGCTGAGCAATGAGGAACTCACCCCCCTCCCAGACGGTCTGCCCCAGCCACCACCACCAGAAATGTGAGCAGGGGGTGGAATTCTGGTTAAGAACTTGGCCCATCATCCCTTAGGAATTCTTACAACTGACATGAACACTCTGTTGAGCTCCAGGAGCTGCCCCTTGAAAGGCCAGGAAAGGCCTGACTGAGGAAAGGCTGCGTGGGGAACGTGCACTGCCCTTCTTTGCTCACCACAGGGCTATTTCCTTGCGACACACTTTGCCACTAGTTCCTTCAAATACTCTGTTTCATGAGGGATTGCTCAGCAGTTCTTATCTTTTCACATTTTTCACGTCTTGCATATCAAATTTCCAGCTCAGATTCCTCCACGACCAACAGAAAATTAGCCAACTGGGATATGAATATTTTCTAATTATTTTTTTTTCCCCAAAACATCTTATTGAAAAGTAAACCACACATCTGAATGGGCCTTGTTAGAGTTTAGGAATCACTGAAGTCCAAGAACTGCAAGTTTTTTGGAGTGGTTAATGCAATATCTGGAATATTACCCAAGCTGTCCCCCGTGCACTGAGCCAGGCTGCATTTCTTCAGCAAATTTAGAATGAGTCACATAAATCTCCTGCTCTGCACATGTGTCTCTACTCAAAGAATTTTCCTAAGAATGCTAGTTGAGGATTTTGAGGAAATTACAATAGTTTGAATGAATTTAGAAACAGTCCCATGCTTGGGATGTATCATAGTAGGCACTGCAGAAAGGAAGCTGAGTAATACATTTAAAATATTCAATATATGGTATTTGATTAATGCAGGGTCATAACACTCAGCCCCTCAAAAGGCAGGCTGTTCACTCTCATGTTTTCACTACCATTTTATGGAAAAGAAATTATCATAATTCTACCAAATAACTATTTCAATCACTAAACCTGGAATTTAAGACATTTAGGAAACTCTCCAGAAGCATAAGCTTTCAAAATATATATAATTATATCCTTTTTGTGAGTGGAAACTGCTTTTCTACTTCTTGACCACTGAAAAAGAAATAAATATTTTATCAACTTAAGTTGCTATTTGTTGGAGCTGAAGTTGTGTTGTATTAGATGATGATGTTTTAAGGGACTGAACATTAATTTAACTTGTGGAATCAGATACTGTTTGGAATCAACCCTTGAAGGCTGGGCTGTAAATAGCTCAGGGCCACCAGTGAGTGGTTGGATGCACAGAAATTCAGGTTAAAGGGGACAAGCAGCAGGATCCCAACCCAACCCAAAGTACTCCCTTCAAAGAGGAGGAGCACCACAGACCCATCTCACCCACCTCCCCCACTGCCTCACAAAACCACCTCCCTCTCCTTTGCAAACAAACACCAGCCCCTGGTGAAGGCAGCAAACCCAAAACAG